AAAATTACACACTGTAGCTTTAAGACTCCCATTTTCCTCAATTAGCACAGCACAGATCAGAGAGGGCAACGTGTTATACTTGGCATCTTCTCTGCTGAACTTGATGTAGTTGGTAAATGCCTTAACTACCTTGGTTTGGATTTTGACACCAAAAGCCAATGGCATGCACATATCTGAAACAGTGAGTTGGTTGTGTTCCCTTGCAGTACATTACCAAAACCCTATACTTTCTATACTGCTTCGTACATACGTAAAACAACCCAGGTAATTGGATATGTTTAACAACAATAATGATTCACTGCAGCACACTTGAAATACACCTTGGCATGTAAGAGTATCTTTTGCTTATTAGGTTATTAAAGAGAAGGGAGCCTAATGACGTAAATGCAAACACAAGTAATGCCAGATAGGCTTCAATCCAAATTTAAACCATAGAGGGAGTGGGTTAAAATTATGGTAAAAATTATGGTTTGCAGAAAAATATTAGGTCCTATAAAGTGCTACCAGAAAATAAGATTAAAAACACTTTTATGAAGGTATTACTTAAGAACATGGCTAGATAAGACCCAACATATTTGTTTATTCCTGTAGATTGGTGCTCAATAGTCAGCCATAGGAGCCACAGGAAAGTGTGGCAGCAAAAAAAAACAGCATGACATGTCAGACCTAAAAAGAAGAAGAACACACGCAAGCAAATATGGGAAAATTAAAAACATGAAAAATGTTGCAAAACATAAAGACATGAAATAAATTATGTGACTCTGAACATTAGTAGATTTCTGACTGTTTTTTTTTTTGTTTTGCCCTAGGTTATTGATCTCGGAGGAGAGGCCATCTCTTATAGTGAGTACATACATCTAGGGAGAGTGACTGAGTTTAAATATGGTGCAAAACTTGGAAATATCTTTAGAAAATGGAACGAAGAGAAACTGTTTTATACAAGGTATGTTTATTTCGTCTGATGGGCCAAGATTTATTAAGATTATTATGAATGGCCAGCAATAAACACGTTTAGTTCACATTTAGCATGTTTAATTCAAGTTTGGTTTATGAGTTTGTGTGCATACATGTAATGTAGAACTGATACATACTCTAGTATATATTATTGAGCAATAGCGATAGCAGTAAACAAATAATGAATATAATTTTTTATTGAAATATTGATTCCAATCAACAGCAAACTTAGAAATTGGCTAGCATTTCTTCAAAAACATTTTGTTATCCTTTATTATCTTCACCACTGTGTATGGTGTTATCCTCTGTTTTTTTTATCTTGTGACCAGGACTTGGGGAGAAGGTTGGGGCTTCATGTCTGATGGCAATGCTGTTGTTTTTGTTGATAACCACGACAACCAAAGAGGTCATGGTGCTGGTGGTTCATCGATCATCACTTTCTGGGACTCCAAACTCTACAAGATGGCCGTCGGCTACATGCTTGCTCACCCCTATGGAGTGGCCAGGATCATGTCTAGCTACCGCTGGAACCGGAATTTTGTTAATGGAAAAGTAAAATCTTCTGACTTCAGAAAATCCCAATATTTTTATAATGATTTTGTGTTAAACATATTTCTGCAAAATAATAGGATCAGAATGACTGGATGGGCCCTCCAGCCAACACTAATGGATCCACTAAGTCTGTCCCTGTCAACTCTGACCAGACTTGTGGAGATGGATGGGTATGTGAGCACAGATGGCGTCAGATCACGTGAGTTCCTAAAAAAAAAGCTTCTAACCTTACAAACAGAACATGATCTTTTACTGTTGATGAAAGTAAAGCAGCCCTTTCTACATGGGGTAAATAATAATGTTTTTTTTTTCATCTATTATGAAGGAATATGGTCATTTTTCGAAATGTGGTAAAACAACAGCCACAAATCAGTTGGTGGGATAATCAGAGCAACCAGGTTGCCTTTGGACGTGGTGATCTTGGTTTTATTGTTTTTAACAATGATGACTGGTAAGGCGTCACATTTTTTACACTTTATATACACTATATAGCAAAAAGTATTCCCTCACTGACTTACATATAGGGTTAAAAGACATCCAATTCCTAATCCATAAAGGTTCAGTATTATGTGGGTCCACCTTTTGCAGCTAGAAGACTTTCTTCTCCTTTGGAAAGGCTGTCTACTAGGTTTAGGAGTGTGCCTATGGAAATTTTTGATCATTCTACCACAAGTGCATTTGTGAGGTCACAGACTAATGTAAAACTGGAAGGCCTAGTTCTTAGTCTCTACTCTAAAACATCCCAAAGGTGTTCTTTCAGGTTGATTAATCTGTGCAAACAGGTAAAGTTCATCCATGCCTTGCTTTGTGCACTGGTACACAGTCATTTCGGAAGAGGAAGGGGCCAGTTCCAAACTATTCCCACAAAGTTGAGAACACAGACTTTCACTGGGAAAGAAAGGCTTATCCCAGCTCCTGAAAAACAACACAGCTATCCCCCCTCTACCAAATACATTGCAAAATTACTCAGACAAGTACAGTTCTCCTGGCAACCTCCAAACCAAGAGTATTTAATCAAATATCCAGATGGAGAAGTGTGATTCATCACTCCAGAACATGCATCTTCACTAGTCTGGTTGTCTACTTACTTGATGCTTTACACCAATGCATGCAACATTTTGCATTGCATTTGTTGATGTATGGCTTGGATGCAGCTGCTCGACAATGGAAACCCATTCCATAAAGCTCTAACTCGAGCTAATCTGAAGACCACCTGAAGTTTGAAAACCATGCAAACCACACCTTTCACCATCTTGTCTTTAGAGTGTGGGAGGAAGCTGCAGCACCAAGAGACAGCCAATTCATGCATGGGGAGAACACGAGAGCTGGGGAATCAGAACAATTAAGAGCTCATAAAACAAATCAATGATATGGTGACTCTAATATAATCTTGTCTTTGCCTTTAGGGACCTTGATGTGACCCTGAACACTGGTATGTCTGGTGGCACTTACTGTGATGTCATTTCGGGTCAGAAGGATGGCAACAAATGCACTGGAAAACAGATAATTGTTAGCAAAGATGGAAACGCCCACTTCAAGATTAGTAACACTGATGAAGACCCCTTTATTGCTATACATGCAGAATCCAAGCTTTAAAAAGTAGCATAGTCTTTGATCATAATGATATGTGAATAGACCAATCATTATACGCATTAATCAGCTCCACACTTAATTATGAGGTGTAGCAGCAATTGTAAGAGGTGGAATTTTTCTATTCAACTTCTTCACTGGAGACTGAGGGGATGGAGGGAAGAGAGGTAGGTTCTGTGGAGCAGGACAGCAGTATTGACCCATACCCGTTACAGCCGTGGGCTCAGAGATTCTGTCTGGCTGCCTCCTGCTCCCACACTCAATGGTTCTTGTGAGAACGGTCAATATCCAGACCAAACACCTAATAAATAAAACAATAACTTTTATGTCTCATGATCCATTGACACAAAATAAGTGCCAAATAGTTATTTTAGATAGAAAGAGGAGACATTCTCATTTTTGTACAAGTCTGATGCATGTTCTATTTTCATAATTTTCCTTTTCAAAGTTAATGTTTTTCTCCTGATAGCTTTTAAGTAATGTAACTAAATATATTATTTACTAAAACTAGGAGTTTTAGTTCAATAATATGTTATTGAAACCAAAATTAAAACCAAGTTATTGTCAGGGTTCCTTTCTGTTTGTGTGTGAGTGCGAGTGATGCATCTCTATCAGAGAGGATCTTGGTAGAGAACCTGGGTAGCCTACACAGGTGGAGCTCATCAGTCTAATCAGACTGCTGGTTTCTTGTTGTTTGGTCAATTCCTCGTCTCTTGCTTCCCTTGAGTATTTTCCCTGACGTTTTTGGATTTTGTTTGATTTTCAGCATTTTTTGTATTTTTCTGCATTTTTGCTTCAGTTGCCTGTTAGTCCTTATCAAATAAGCAAAACTCACTTCTGCCTCCTCAGTTTTGCATCTGGGTCTTCAAAGCTTCCACCCAACCTCACAGTAATTATCTTTATTAAATGATTAAAACTGGCTATTTACTCACTTAGGAGATGTTATCAACCGCTTTCCTATGTGCCTGGATCTCTTGAACTGGCTGTTAAAATACAAGATGTATTTACCATCATTAAAGCTTAATAACGTGGGTTATTACAGTAAGTTCTTAACACCCACCTCATTTAAAGTAATGCTCTCCTGTTTTGCATACCCAAATTGAAAAGCAAATAAAGAACTGTAAGCCCAAATTACATGTGTGATATATCATTTGAAAGCTAAAAACCTTCTAGTTTCTGAAAATAGTGTGCATAAAACACAGTCTAAGCTGCACCGGTTCAAACATGACTCAAAGTTGTTTCTTTTATTCTCAAAAATAATAGGTCTTTTTTGAACATCAGTTATAAAGACATGATTGAGAATAGAATAGGCATGTCTCATTTCTTCCACGTCATGTCAACCATAAATGCTACAACAGTTCCAGAGCTGTGGGGCTTTGAACTTTTGGTGTCACCAGCGTCTCCAGAATTCCCCTGATGTGCCAGATTGTGCCAAATTATGTCAAAGTGTGCCAAATGCTTTTACTCAACTATTTGACCCTAAAATAACACTGAAGCATTTTGATGGCCACAAAGCATTTATGAAGCAGGTATTTTTCTACTTTTTTTTTTTTTAGAATCAGTACATATATATATATATAAGTAACATTTATTAGCCTAAAATAACATAAAAATCAATAAAAAATAGTGAAACTGCTGCTTTTCAGGCTTAAATAAGCTCTAGTGCCTTTTCTGAGCTGTATATATATATATATATACCGTAAATTCTCTAATATTGGCCTGTATTCCAATAGCGGCCGGGTCTCTAATAATGGCCGGTCTCGCTGTCAGAGGAGGTAAATAATGGCCGGTCTCTAATACAGGCCGGGGCTATAAACGTTTTTTCTGGGCATACCTCAA